GCATCGTCGCAGTTGTCGGACTTGAATCGAAATCTAGGTGACGAGATAGCGGATGGAGAGTACTCATTTGAGCGCCGAAAAGGTCGAGGCACAGCAAACTTGAAAAGTCTTTCTAGGCTTAGTACTTAGGTAGTGCCCTGTGATACTTTTTCGGCCGTTTGTGTGATTATAGGCAAGGACCCTGACCATAACCCAATCGCCAGTCGAGGTTCAAGTTGCATACAGTACGTTGTATCGAAGTACATACACTTACAGTACATGTAGGAACGACATGGTCTCGGATGGTCTGTACATATCGTATCTCACTCATCAACCCGGTGAGGAGCCAACGCACCACGGTCAATGTATTGTCATAAATATCGATAGAGCTTCCTGTCCTTTGCAGAAGTTTACGAGATTCCTGATCTGAACTTTCCCCTTCTCTTGAAAGGCGCTGAATTGGAAAACTAGACAGACAGAATACCTGCTTGGATATTACAGAATGTCGTGGGTTTGGGCGTAGAGTAAGTACATGTAGGGGTTGTCATGTACCTAGTGTACTCATAGTAGGTACGCTAAACGACTTGGGAATTGCTCTGGGATGAATGAAGATGGATCTTGCTTGGACGAAACTAGGTCTACCTACTACTGTACGTACTAGATGGGCACCACCAAGGTGCTTGCACCAACCTAACCCACCTAGGCAGAAAGAGAGGCGAAATAAAGTAATAACAACATTCATTTCACTTCCCCTCATGTAGTTGTGGCATTCATGCGGGCTTGGAAGCATCGGTCGTAGAGGTTTTTGCCGTAGTTTGAGGCTGACGAGCTGCATTCGTTTGTTTGCTAGGTAGCTTGGTTGTTTGTTTCCCAATGATCTTAACCACCACAAAGACATTTATTTTCCCTCGACCTTTCGACACCCCCATACAACGTCAGTGCCAAATGCAAGCTGGTACCTATTCCAGTATGTACATAGAGCTAGGTATTATAGGTACCCATTAGGGGACTTGATGAATATTGCTCTTTACATGTGCTTTCGCGGCCACAGGTACACCAGGTTACTCAATTGTTGCCCAAACGTACATGTATTTTCCACGGATGTAGGTAAAATAGATAGGCATGTACAATGTTAAGCACAGCGTTACACTATTCGACACCTCAGCCTACCAAAGTACCTCCTTAATATACGGTACGCTGAAGGACTGAGGACTAGAAGAAAACCAACAGGGGCTGTCCCTGTTGAGGCGCCTGCTTGACATGACGCTAACAGGGACCATCCACTTATTATCCCTGGAGAACACCCAAAAATGGCCCGCTGATCCATTGATTTTCTGCAGTTGTAAGGATACAACTTACACCACTTGTGTGTACACGTACTGTACTATGTAGTAGCGTATCAATAGCAAGCAAGCTGTATGTATACCAATCTTTACTGATTTAAATAGTAGATATGTAGATATATAGATGTGAAATGTTAGCAGTAGGTAATAGATATGGCTTCATGTTTATATATACAGTATACTAAGTTGATAACTATATTGAAAGACACTTCAAGTAGGAAGGCGGGCATCCAGCTCATACCGTAGGTAAATGGTCAAAGGCCCGGATTAATTGTCCAGAAGAGCCCTCACATTTAGGGCGTTGTACGTGATACTTCCAGGCATGAAGTGACCGTCCTCATCTACTAGGTAGTATGTACCTACATAGCACCTTAGCTGACCATCCTACATCTCGTCGCCTTATTATCGGATACCTATAGCAGAGAACCTCGAACTTACTCAAGGTTGAACGTTGTGAGAGGCGGTATTAGCTAGGTATCTATATCGTGGTAGAGGATATGCGCTATGGATTTGCAAGGTCATTTTCAGACCAGACACTGACTGCGCTGCCTCCTCCCCTGTTCTATCACTCAACCGCATGTCCCATTTACTCGGGCTCCACGGCCTATATTACCTACTTACCTAACTATATACCTAGGCACTGCCTACTTATGTAGGCGGAGCTTTCGGAAGCTGATAGAACTCTGAGATTCGCAGAAGCTCAATGGCGAGTGCTGTTCTAAGAAGACGGATTGGATTGTCTTGTCTCTTTGCTTTAACAGACTTCATTCAGTTATTCTACATCAACAGACAATAACATGTGCCTGGTGAATCACCCTACCTCTGCCAAGCCTACTTGATTGAGGCACCCTCCTTCATCTGTCCAGTTATCTGGTAATCTATATTATCTAGGTACCTCCATGTACCCACCAACTTGGTTGGGCAAATCTTATTCTGGACATTTACACTACCATAGTCTACACTAAAGATAGCTTGAGGTAAGGCAGTGTAAGTTTCGATCTGGTCGGTGCAAGACAATCGTCACGACGTTGTCTCCCACCCTACCTACTTCAGTTTCTGTATGCTCTGCCCCTAAATTTCGGCTCGCCCGTTCTTCATTCGACTGTCTAGTACCTATTTTACATACAGCATAGCATTCTCTCGGATCCTGCTGAGGCTGGTAGATAGCAGATAGATAGACACTTCGAGTTCACTTAGGAGATAGGTATTCTTTTTTCCTTTGCGCCTCGCGTCATCTCTGGCCCAGATACAAATGTACGCATTGCATTTAACCACAGCCCATCTAGGATAGAGAAGTACCTAACCGATTGTCTGGCTACACACACAGGTACTTATCAATACCGGTACTTGCTTAGCTCTGCACTGGTAGTAGGCACCTCAGGTAACACCTAACTCGACCTCGTTGAGGACTCATATAATAAATAGTCTAGGTCATCATCGCAGAATCTTGGCCTTCTCCAACAAATCTCTTGAACCTCAACCTGTTATAGTCTGCACTTTGCCTTCGCTCTTCTATTTCTATATCCATACCCATATCTATACCCGTATATATACTATATACTCATATATCAGTGCCCCATTGCAGGATATACCTGTTAGAAGGACTACGCTTCGCCGCTCTCTTATACTCGCCGCACTTCGCTTCTTCCCGGCTGTCGCTCAACTGCACGGCAGGGCCCGCTCTTCATTCGCTTCTGACACTCGTCTCCCTGACCTTGTCTCTACTTCTATCTTCATAGGTACCTAGGTACATACATGCCTACCTACCCACTGTACCTAGTGCTACTACATAGGTAGTGCCGCTTCGTCCAGCCCAGCGAAGAAAATAACAACAACAAGAATAATAATAGCAACGACAACAATCCCCCCCTCCCCCCTCCCTCAAAACCTTCGACGACAGCGGATTCAAAAAAGCCAGGTCGCGGGGCTGCCCAAACAAAAGCTCGGCGCCCACCAGCGCCCGAATCGTCTTCGGTCGCACAATCACGCGCACTATCGTCGGCGTGTACATTAGTAGGTATGTACTGAAGAGGTACCACACACAACACCAGGTCTCGAGAGCAAGACACAGTGCCCAGGGCAAGGCACCTGGACGCACTAGCATTGACAGTACGGTAAGTGTACATCAGCCATTCGCTTGTGCTGGGTCATGGTGGCCAGTCAGCTTCATGTACCTGCCCGCCTGTCAGTGGGCTTACCGGGGGGGGTCTGGGTAGACAATGGCCAGGCCCCACCTCTGGCAATATTGGGATCCCACTATTGGGGTACCCATTGTCCAGACGGCAGAAAGTACCTACCACTACATGCCTACTTACATACTTCGTGCTTGCCTACATAGGCACCTACATACATACCTAGGTACCGAGCATGTACAGGGCCAGAGAGCTAAGTATTGCACTCCTCTGTCCTGTACCTACCTAGGTACATACATGCCTAGGTACCTAGCCCAGGTAGCCCAGGTAGCCCAGACCAGGTCCTGGCTCCCGCTCCCTTTCTCCCGCTACCACTGCCGCTCTTGTTCTCTTACGCACCCACCATCCGCCCATACCTATCCATCCATCCTCATCACTACACCACCACCACCACCACCACCACTTCTTTGCTTGCTTGCTTGCTTGCTTGCTTGCTACTTTCCTACCGGCCACATCACACGCCTCCAGAGCGTCTGGCTGTTTTTTTCTTTTCTCTGCTTCTTCTCCTCTCCCCTCTCCATCGCTCTCATTCTACCGCCTTTGGTCCTTTGGTCATTTGGTTCTGCCACTTCACTTGGCTTTGCGCTCAATCCACCGCTTGCCGCTGCATCGAAACCTGTAAATATACTCCACCTTTGCCTGCTGTGAACTTGCCATGATACTAACCTGGTGCCCCGATCTCGTCAACTTCACTTACTTTCGACTTGCGCTAACCTGTCTCTGATCTTTTCTGGCAGAAACTATCTTCGGCCATAGCCTCCATCTGGTTCAACCGACGTGTGTCTTGCTGGCAGCCCCGACTCGTCTCTGGCGTCCGCACATGCAAACTTGACTACCTCGACAACTGTCACCAACATTGCCACTATCACCTGTTGCTGCTGTAGAGCTATATGTAGCCTGAAGCTTTTGCTTTGCGCCTTCATACTCACCGTGTCTGCACTTCACCGCCAGAAGATCTTCCAGAAAATCTTCCAGATTCTCTTGTCGACTCGGTATCCGTGAATGATGGCATGATTGTCTACTTTCGAACAACAACATCAACATTTGGCGCGCTTGCACGACAGGTCACAGCACAGTGAACGTCTCTGCTGTGGCTGTAAGAGAAATCCTCAAGAGGTCGTGCTGTGTATCTATTAACGATTGCGGGTTGGCAAATTGGACCGAACCAGTCTCTCACGCCTCGTTTCACGGGTTTTGAGCCAGGATTCTGAGTGCCATTTTGAACGACGCCCATCTCTGAAACACTTACAGCTACATCGTAGTTTAGACCATCTCACACTATATGGACCTACCTAGGGATTAGAAGGTATCCCTGCGACTCTTGTTGGGGGTTATGTGCCCGGGTCCAGCCCTCAAGATTTGCGTAAACCTGATTTTCAAGAGTATCCTGTCGAGGTACGTCCCCCACACGCCTGATAACGGCAAATCCTTACTCACCGGTACTTGCAATTCGTAGACTTGATTGACCCTCCTCGCTCTCGCGGCTATGGCCGCCAATATTCAGCAAATTGGCGCGAACGCGGGCCTTCGACGACCGCATCAAGCCCAACTCTCTCAGCTTCTCTATGCACAATTAATGACACAGAATGTGCCCACTACTGGCTGGCATACTTCTGTGACTCCACAGACTCGCGTGGGGCATGCGATGAATATGTAAGTTAAAGTTTAATCACAAGCTTAGGCTCAAGCTTTTCGAATATAATATAATACTCACAGCTTTGCAGCATTACCAACTCATTCCTAGCAATGCCACAGGCCGACAGCAGTCAAGTAATAAGTGTTGGTATAACATACGAGCGAGACGCGTTTACAACATCACCAGATAAGGTCAGTGATAAATACATGGCCGCTGTCTACGGTGTAAATACACAAAGATACTGATCTGCTCTAGGCTACATACGAGGCGCGACTCATGACGCGCGTAAATGAGCTATTTAGGAAGCGACAGGCAAATGAACAAAACATCCATCACAACCTGACTGCTCAGGCAGCTCAAAATCAGTTGATGATGAATCAGAATATGCAGATGAGAGGGATGAATCAACCCTTGCAACAAGGATTTCAAGGTCTTCAACAGATGCAACAATCTCCAACCAACCAACAAGGCCAGCCCAACATGGGCGTAAACAACAACCCCAATGGACTTGGCACGAATTCTAACCAACAAATGTTGCAAGCGGGAGGCCAGATGCGTCCGCAAATGGCAATGCAGGCTATGCAGGCTAGAATGGCGGCGAATTTAACGCCTCAGGAGCAAGCCAAAATTCATCAGCTCGCTGTCACAAAGCTCCATCAGATGCCCGAAGCAAATCGAACTCAATATCGCATAATGGTACAGGCAAAATTGGGACCGCAATTACTGGCTCAGTTACAACAAGAAAACGTGGATCCTCTTATGTACTTCTTTCAAAACCAATTTACGAATGGCTATCTGCAAACAAAAGGCCAGACTGGCGTAAATCAAATGGGGATGACAATGCAAGTCCCTCAGCAACGATCAATGAACCAGCCCGTTCAACAGCTCCCAAACGGGCAGACTGGAGACTTCAGTCCCTTTTCGAATGTAGACATTATGAACCAGCAGAAGGCAGGTTTGATGGCTCAAGAAGCAGGCCAGATGGTTGTCCCAGCTAGCGGCGGTGCAGGCCGCAATGCAACACCGCAACCAATGGGTTCGCTACCTGGTCCTAACCAAGGGACAGGACAACCCATCCCGCATCAAATGCAACCACCCTTCGGTGCTCACCAACCGAGCCAGCAACTCAAGATGGACCAAAGAGCCGCTCAGAGCCAGGCTCAGATTCGGGCACAAGCGCACGCAAAGCAGATGCAAGGGCAACCTGGAGGCCTGAATGGCCTAGGAGGTACCTCACAAAGTCCTGCAATGAACACACTAAATGCCCCGGTGCGCCGGACACCCATAGCCATAGGTCAGACTGAAGGACAGCCACAAATTGGTCAAGGTAATGTGGCGTTTGGACAGCACATGATGGATCCTCGATTCAATCAAACGGGCCAGCGGACCCCAATAGGACCCAATGGTAACATGAATAATCGGAATCAGATGATACACAATGCTTTAGCTCAGATGCCCGCGGAGATTCGGCAACAAATAATGAGTTTGCCACAAGACAAAATTCCCGAAATGATTATGAGATGGAATGCCAATCGAACAGCCGGTACGATGTCCGGCCGTCCTCAACCGCAAGGTGGGCAATTAGGACCTGGTAATCCCATGGCCCAGTCAATGGCACAATTTGCACCAGGCACTAATATTCCTGGCCAACATCCCAATCTCGGTACGCCTATGAATCAGCAGAGCCAACTGATGCTACAACAAATGAATCAGCTTCGAAATCCTAATGGGCCTCAAGGAACCATGGATCGTAATGCGCTGATGGACAATATGCCCGTACCCAAAGAGATCTTGGATCAAGTGCGAATAACGTCGGCACAAGGGGGGGCCATCCCTCTTGAAAATAAAAAATGGGGTTGGTTCAAACAATTCCTCATTCAGAAGAATGTATCTCAACAGCAAATGAATCACGTACTCCAAATGCAAGCGAGACAATTTGCAGAAGCCATGGCGCAAAATGCGAACAAAGCAGCGAATGCGAACCCTGCTGTTACAAGTTCACAGGTGGCTCAGCCTAATATACCACAACAAGGCGCCCAACCAAATGGTCAATTGACTCACCAATCAGCCCAGCCTCTACCGAACCCTCCACCGAACCCAGCTGGTGGCAATCTAAGCATCGTGATATCGCCTCAAGAAATCCAGAATGCCAAGAAACATGAAAAATTCAAAGGCTGGACGGACGAAAAGGTACGAGCAATGCTTATGCAAATGAAAACGCAAGCATTCAAGAATCGGGCAGCAGCCCAAATGTCGGGTACACCAGCTCAGCCGCCTTCAGCACCTCAAGTGTCACAGCCAACACCCGCGGCGACAGCACCAGCTTTGCAGTCACAGTCAGCAAATGGTGCGGCTGTGCCACCGAAACAGCAGAATGGAGGTCCTGAGACTAGCACGACCAGTCCGGTGTCACAGGGGCGGAACATCAAGCAGCCGCAGAATAATAATACACCGAGTGTGACCGTTCCGCCTACGGTGAAGACGGGCACCAAGCGCCCTATGCCGGATGATGGAACTGAAGTACCCAACCCTTCTCGCACACCTGTCCAGCGATCGCAACAGATTCCACCTCAAATGCCTCACTTCACCGCTGAACAGCTGGCCACCCTAACACCAGAGCAGCGGCAGAAGTATGAAGCTATGGTGAGGAGTCGGCAATCAGCCCCAACTGCTCAAATGTCTGAAGATATGTTACGCCTCAAAGCCATTGGCCAGGAACAACATCAAGCAGGCGTGAAAGAGCAATTGCCCGATATACCGATGACTCCTGAGCAATATCAGGACACGGCGCAGAAGGTTCAGAATATGTGTATCGAGATGAACAAAGTTAGTAAAGTGTTAGGCCGATGGTATTCTGCAACCCACGATGACGCACGTGCCAGGCTGTTTTTCAAGCTGGTAAGTTCTTGATAGACCACATGTTTCGATATTGAGGCTAATATTTATAGCGAATGCGGTTGGTTAAGCAATACGCCGATGGAGAAAAAATGTCTGTACTAAGGGATAAGTTTTCCATAACGCCAGCAGATATGGAACAAATTAGGGGTATGTTTGAAAGCGTGGCTAAAGACTTGTCGACACATTTTCCAAACATGATGAAGAAGAACCCGAGCCAGCAGAATTCATCAGAGCCTGCACCCACCCAGGGAGGGTCTACACGCCCAGGTGCCCCAACCGCTCAACCCGCTCCACTCAATGCAGCAAACCTCGAGAAGCAGACACAGGCCTATATAAAGATGCACCAAAGGAGCAGCAGCAAAGCGGGACAGCCTCCCGCAGCACCGACGACCGCGCAGCCCCCGTTCCCCTTTGGAGCACAATCGCCTGACGGCCAGCCAACATATGCTGGAAAGCCTTCAGTAACCCAGGACAGTCTCCAGCTGCCTGCACGTAAACGGCCTAAGACCGAAGCTAAAGCGGGAACGGGTACCGGCCAGAATGGATCTAGTGCCAATGCATCGCCACAGGTGCCGAAGCTGTCCTCCCCCGACATGAGTAAGCGGCAGGCGCCCACCGAGGTCAGGCAAGCGTTACCCAAATTCACATGCCCAGAACAGCACTGTGAATTCCGCCTCATTGGATTCCCAACAGAAGATGCTCTACGCAAGCATAGGGATGAAGAGCACATCAAGCCCGCAGAAGATCCTTTCAAGTTTGCCACAGAGAGTCTTGCCGAAGTACTCGGCTTGGATGCAAATGGCAAACTTAAGAAAGCGCCCACGACTGTTGCAAACAATCAATCACCAGCGGATGCCTCTAAACATGGCCCAACCCCGGTTGTTAAGGCAGATGCCCCCATGAAGAGGCAAGGCAGTACGACAGGCTCCAAGCCAAGCGAGCTGATCAAGACGATTGCTGGCAAAACGAGCACACCGAAGCCTGAAGCAGTGGTGAAAAGTGAGGGCGCAACTCCCATCGCGCTACCCAATGGTGGCGCCATCCCACAATTTCAATCTAGCGAGCTCCTGGGCACCACAATCGACCCTCAAGAACTGTTGTCGGGTGTCACTGGCCTTGAATTTGGTGGCGATGGTGCGATATCTGATATGAATGTCTATCGATCCATCACACCTAACGACACGCCAGAATCTTTTAAGGATAGCGCATCATCCGAGCCAAACAGCGACTTATCAGAGGGTGTTGCTTTAAACGTCACGTTGGACATGGGGTTCGGCACGTGGGATCCATTTGCGCTCGGCCATGACGCAACAAGTATGGATATGGGAGGCATGGACTTGTCAGGTCTACCCTACCCGGGCTTCACATGGGACGAGGTCAATCCAGAATTCGATAAACCTTTCTCCATAGATACGTCTTTTTTCCAACTCGACGCGTCATGATCAAGCCAGTTGTGCCCGTACCTTGGTCGTTTTGGATGAAACATGGCCCATGTAGCCAAAATTTTTATCCTGGGGAAACGTGGGGGGGGGGGGGGGGGGGGTATATATTAAGCGAAGAAACCTAAATTTACGAGAAAAAACGATTTTTTAAGGGGGCATGAGCAAGAGCATTTAAGGATTATGTTAATTGTGGGGGAGATAAA